CACTCTAGGCTGGGTGACAGAGTGAGGTTCCATTTCAAAAAATAAAATAAAATAAAAATATTTAAAAAGCATCAAAGACCTTATGTGACACTGAAGAATTATCAGGCGAGAATAGGGAAGAGGACTGGAGCTCACGTAGATGGCTTAGGGTTGATTCTAAACCAGGGATATTTGTGAGTAAAGCAGAGACATAAAGCTTGGCTTTTGCCATTCTCAAGAGTAGAGTGGGCTGGGTGCAGTGGTTCATGCCTGTAATCCCAGCAGTTTGAGAGGCCAAGGTACGAGGATCGCTTGACCCCAGGAGTTTCAGACCAGCCTGGGCAACATAGGGAGACCCCATCTCTAAACAAAAAAAATTAGCCAGGTGTGATGGCATGCACGTAGTCCCAGCTACCTGGGGGACTGAGGCAGGAGGATCGCTTGAACCTGGGAGGTCAAGCCTGCATTGAGCTGAGATTGCACCACCGCACTCCAGCCTGGGTAACAAGGTGAGACCCCATCTCAAAAAAAAAGAGCGAGAGAGATATGGAGTGAACAAGTGAACATGGGTGAAAGTCCTTTGGCAACGGGGAAGGTAGACTTTAGAGAAGCATCTTCTGCTGTTTGTCGGGACTCTGATCCATGGGAATTCACTGAAAGGCAGAGATGTATTTTTGGTGGCTTCATGCATTATAGCAATGAGAGTTGGAGCTTAACCTTCACCAAAGGGAAGACGCTATGTAACAGTCCCTGTACTGGGTTGGAAACTGAATAATTTTACTCTGGTTATTGGGGTGAACTGTACTCCCAGGGATTTTTGGTGTGGCTGCAGAACTTCAAACCACGTGTCTGAACTATTAAGTACCTTAGATATCTAGTAGTGGAAACTGTTCAGAGTAATAGTGCCTTAGGTCTTAAAAATATTTTTTCAAATAAAATGTATAGAAAACTCCAATTTTAAGATCTCAGCAGCTGCGCACTGCAGCTCATGCCTATAATCCCAGCACTGTGCAAGGCTGAGGCAGACAGATGACTTGAGTCCAGAAGTTTGAGACCAGCCTGGGCGACATAGTGAGACCTCATCTCTAAAACAAACAAAAATTTAAAAATTAATTTGTGGATTTAAGCATGTTTGTTATGTTTGAATGCACTATAGTTATTGTCCTGATTGATTTCAAAATGTTACTTTTTTGGCCAGTGGGAGCTTCTCAAGTTGGCTTTAGAGTTCTTCTAATACAACCCTAGTTACCAATAAAGTGATCTTTAATTTCTATGGTTTTATTATTGCTTTTTTTTTTTTTTGAGACTGAGTCTCACTCTATCATCCAGGCTGGAGTGTAGTGGTGCAATCTTGGCTCACTGCAATCTCTGTCTCCTGGGTTCAAGTGATTCTCCTGCCTCAGCCTCCCAAGTAGCTGGGATTACAGGTACCCACCACCCCACATGGCTAATTTTTGAATTTTTGGTAGAGACGGGGTTTGGCCATGTTGGCCTGGCTGGTCTCAAACTCCTGAGCCAAAGCAATCTGTCCACCTTGGCCTCCCAAAATGCTGTATTACAGGTATGAGCCACTGTGCCTGGCCTCCATCTTTTATCTATCTGCATCCTCTCCCTGCAGAGTGGCCTAGAAACTATGTTACCCCATATAAATGAGTACTTACAATGCCCAGATATGCATTTCTAATTCCCCACAAATCCTTAGGGAATCAACAAATTCCAAGTCTGGGGCATAATAGGTATGAAGATGCCAGAGTTATATCAAAAAGGACAAGCCAACTTGGCAAAAATTGTGAAAATCTGAATATTAGAGAAGACAATGATTGCACCGATTCAACTACACCAAATCAATAAAAACCTGTGTTTTGGCCAGGCACGATGGCTCACACCTGTAATCCCAGCACTTTGGGAGGGCAAGGTGGGCAGATCATGAGGTCAGGAGATTAAGACCATCCTGGCCAGTATGGTGACTACTAAAAATACAAAAATTAGCTTGGTGTGTGGTATGTGCCTGTAATCCCAGCTACTCAGGAGGCTGAGACAGGAGAACTGCTTGAACCAGGGAGTTGGAGGTTGCAGTGAGCCGAGATCGTGCCATTGCACTCCAGCCTGGGTGATAGCAAGACTCTGTCTCAAAAAAAGGAATAAATAAATAAATCTGTGTGTCCATAATGGTACTCAAAAAGGTAAAGCCTTTGTCACACTGGACATGGCGGCTCATACCTATAATCCCAATATATTGGGAGGCCAGGGCAGGTGGATTACTTGACCCCAGGAGTTCAAGACCAACCTGGGCAAAACAACATGACCCTGTTTCTACAAGAAATAAAAAAAATCAGCCAGGTGTGGTGGTGCATGTCTGTGGTCCCAGTTTTTCAGGAGGCTAAGGTGAGAGGATTGCTTGAGCCCAGGAGTTCAAGGCTGCAGGGAGCCATGATCGCACCACTGGACTCCAGCTTGTGCAACAGAGCAAGGTCCTTTAAAAAAAAAAAAAAAAGAAAAGAAAGAAAGAAAATTAAAAGAGAGAGACAAACGAAAGACAACTTCAATAGGAAAATGAGAAAAGAGTTGAACTGGGCCGAGCACGGTGGTTCACATCTGTAATTCCACCAATTTGGGAGGCCAAGGTGGGCACTTGAGGTCAGGAGTTTGAGACCAGCCTGGCCACATGGTGAAATCCCGTCTCTACTAAAAATACAAAAAAATCAGTCGTGCGTGGTGGCACTTGCCTTTTATCCCAGCTACATGGGAGGCTGAGGCAGGAGAACTGCTTGAACCCGGGAGGCGGAGGTTTCAGTGAGCCGAGATCATACCACTGCTCTCTAGCCTGGGTGACAGAGCAAGACTGTCTCAAAAATAAAATAAAATAAAATAAAAAGGCCAGCACGGTGGTTCACATCTGTAATCTTAGCACTTTGGGAGGCCAACGCAGGTGGATTGCCTGAACTCAGGAGTTTGAGACCAGCCTGGGCAACATGGTGAAACCCCATCTCTACTAAAAATACAAAAAATTTAGCCAGGCATGGTGGTGGGCACCTGTAGTCACAGCTACTAGGGAGGCTGAGGCAGGAGAATCACTTGAAACTGGGTGCTGGAGGTTGCAGCAAGCTGAGATCATGCCACTGCACTCCAGCCTGGGCGACAGAATGAGACGCTGCCTCCCAAAAAAAAATTGAACTGATACTTCACAAGAGATGATATCCCAAAAACCAAAGCCATCTGAAAATGTTATGAACCTCATTAACATTTAGGTAAATGCAACTTAGGTAAATGCAAACTAAAATCAGAATGAGAAGCCATTGCACATCCACAAAGTTTACCCTAAAAGTGTGGCAATACCAAGTGTTAATGGAGCTGGAGATAAGTGGGAACTCTGACTCATTGCCAGGGGAGTGTGAGTTGGTCCAACCAACTTGCAGACTTGCAGACTGCAGATTAAAAAAAGATAGGAAACTCCCTGATTCATTTTATCTGGCAACCTGCTCTTTCTACCAAAGATAAAGAACATACCAAAAAGAAAACTACATCCCAGTCTCATTTATGATAATAGATTTTAAAAATTCTAAATAAAGCAGTAAAGCAAATGGGTAGTATAGTTTGTTCCAGTAGATTTTATTCCAGAAACACAAAGATACTTCCCTATCGAGAAATCTATCACCATAATTTATTACATTGAAATCCTTTTTTTTTTTTCTTTTGAGACAAAGTTTCACTATTATTGCCCAGGCTGGAGTGCAGGCACAATCTTGGATCACTGCAACCTCCGCCTCCTGGGTTCAAGGATTCTCCTGGCTTGGCCTCCCAGTAGCTGAGATTACAAGTGTGTACCACCACACCCAGCTAATTGTGTGTGTGTTTTGTATTTTTGTATTTTTAGTGTGTGTGTTTTATATGTTTGTATTTTTAGTAGAGACAGCGTTTCACCATGTTGGCCAGGCTGGTCTCGAAATCCTGACCTCAGGTGATCCACCTGCCTTGGCCTCCCAAAGTGCTCGGATTACAAGCGTAATACAAACTACTGTGCCCGGCTGTGACTGGTTAATTTTTAAATATTTAGAGATGGGGTCTTGCTATGTTGCCCAGGCTTCTAGAATCATTCTTCATATTATTTCACTAACACTGCCTCCACTGCATTAATATCTCAACAGGTCTAGAAGCTATTTAAAACAAAAATTTCCCATGTTTACATACATAGATATATATATATATATATATGTCTATCTATCTGCATTGGCTAGCTGGGGATTCTACTCACAATCACATTGTCCCGGACTGAATCTGGGATTCACTTTGGGAACAAATTCTTGTCTTCAACAAAGAGCTGTCTTGAGTAAGCATAAAAGTAGCATTTGAATAGCTTTTTTTTTTTTTTTTTTCAGAGAAAGGGCACCCAGGCTGGAGTGCAGTGGCACAATCATAGCTCACCGCACCCTCCAACTGGTGAGCTCAAGAGATTCTTCTGCGTCAGCCTTCCTAGCAGCAGGAATTACTGGCGTGGGCCACCATGCCCGGTTAATTTTCTTATTTTTTTGTAGAGGTTGTTGGAGGCGGGGGGCTAGGGAGGTTATCGCTGTGTTGCCCAAGCTAGTCTCGAACTCTTGTCCTAAAATGATCCGTCCTCCTCCGCCTTTCAAAGCGCTGAGATTACGGGCGTGAGCCACCGCGCCCAGCCTTGAATAGCTTTTCACATGCATTGCACCTTATTCTCTTTTATTCCCTCGGTTTGGGATCCAGTGTGAAACCTGGGAAGGGACTCGCTTGTGGTTACACTGGCTGGAATCCTCGCTCAGGCGGAACCCCGGCTCCAGCCAGTGCGCAGGAGCACAAGCTCAACCCCACCCGCCTCCCACCCCGCCCAGACGCTTCCCTCTGCGGACACTCCCCCTCTTTTTCTTGCTCAGATCCTGAGGGGCGGGGAGATGGGTGTTATAGAGGTGATACCACCAATCAACGTGCGCCTTCGGGAAGCCGCGCTTCGCACTGGCTGGTTGGATCTGACGACATGGCCACGGTCCAATCCTCACGCTAGAGGCAGGGCAAAAATCCAGTGACGCAAGCAGAAGGAGGAGCCCGCCGGTTGCAAGCACGTGACCGGAGCTGAAGCCGGAAGCTACCTATCTGGTAGGGCGCTCCCCTAGCACCTAAGACTGCGATGGTAAGTGAGGACGCATGCGCGGGAGGACCCGCTGGGGGTTCAGCGTCTCTGCTCCCCAATCTTTGTGGGTGCCCCCTCGTGTGCCTGCGCTCCACGCTTACCTCCTGTCCGCCTGGGAAGGGACAGGGGATGGAGATGGGAGGGATGATGACGGGAGTGCTGGGGAGGGGTCTGTGGGAGGGTGTTCTGGGGATGCGGATAGTCTGCGTGGCAGGGGCGGGGACGAGGGGGAGGTGGAGAGAGGATCTGGGGACCAGGATAAGTGGGGCAGCGAAGACCCCTCGGGGTAGCAAAGGTGGGGTGTGAAAGGCCAGGGGAGCCCGGGGGCCAAGACGTGGGTACACATGGAGGCTGGGGAAGATCAGTATTGAGGACCTTGTAGGGAGAAGGGGGCCGGGAAGGGACCTGGCTGGGGAATGAGAAAACCAAGAGACTTGGATTTGCAGGTGCAGGGTATCGGGGGCCATCCATCTCTCTAGCATGCTTCTCACTGCTTGCATCTTTACCCACTAGACTTCTGCACTGACCCAGGGGCTGGAGCGAATCCCAGACCAGCTCGGCTACCTGGTGCTGAGTGAAGGTGCAGTGCTGGCGGTGCGTTCTGGGAAAGGGAGGGGATCCCTTAGTGCACACAGCCCGGTAACCCCTTCTAATATTAGCCCTTCTTTTCTCGGCTTTTTCCTGGTTTCCTGCCTGGCATCTATTAGGTTGGTGCAAAAGTATTTGCAGTTTTTGCAGTTACTTTCAGTAATTGGTTGGTGGAATCTTAGTCTCCTAACTGTTGCAGTTTATTTATTTATTTTTGCGAAGGAGTTTCGCTCTTGTTGCCCAGGCTGGAGTGCAGTGGCATGCTCTCGGCTCACTGCAACCTCTGCCTCCTGGGTTCAAGCGCCTCAGCCTCCCAAGTAGCTGAGACTACAGGTGCTTGCCACCACAAGTGGCCAATTTTTGTATTTTTAGTAGAGACAGGGTTTCACCATGTTGGCCAGGCTGGTCTTGAACTTCTGCCCTCAGGTGATCCACCTACCTCGGCTTCCCAAAGTGCTGGGATTACAAGCATGAGCCACCAGGCCTGGCCTTTACTTGGTATTTCTTAAAGAGGCATTTGTATTTTGTTCCATAGTACTGTATAGTGTTAGGTCCCTAGATGTTTTTGATTTAGCTAGAGACAAAGCTTAAGTTATTGAAAACAATGCAGGTGATAAAGGCTATTGAAGGAATCTAGGATATTAAAAATTCAACATGTTATGACAAGGTAACTAACTTTCCTGGAAGTAGGAATTCAGCCCAACTTAAAGGAGAGTATTTATGGTGGGGAGGTGGACATACAGGTGCGTGGCACCAACCTATCTTAACTGGTTAGTTTATGGTGAACAGATTGGGAAAGGTTTGAGGGAAGAGGAGGATATGGTCGGGGAAGGATCTGATTTTGAAGGATCTTCAAGGCCAAGTTAACACACTTGAACTTAAATCTTGAAGATAATGGGAATTTGAAAGGTTTTTTTGAACAGAAACAAGACCCAGTAGATGGCTGAGCAAGACTGTTCTGTTAGTGATGTGAAGATGGGCAGAAAGGGGAGTCAGAGATGAGACTGGGTCAGACATAGTGGCTCATGCCTGTAATCCCAGCACTTTGGGAGGCTGAGGTGGGTGGACCATGAGGTCAGGAGTTCAAGACCAGGCTGGCCAACCTGGGAGGTGGAGGTTGCAGTGAGCTGAGATGGTGCCATTGCACATGCACTCCAGCCTGGGTGACAGAGGGAGACTCAGTCTCAAAAAAAAAAAAAAAAAAAAAGAGAGAGAGAGATGATACTGCACAGGTAGCAGTAAGAAGGAGAAGGAGCAAGGAGAGAAGAATTTTTTGTTTTTTTTAAAGCAGAGACTCAGTGTCACTCAGGCTGGAGTGCAGTGGTGCGATCACCTCTAGCAATCCTCCCACCTAAGCATCCCTAGTAACTAGGACTACAGGCAAGCACCACCACATACAGCCATTAAAAAAAAAATTTTTTTTTTTAATAGAGACAGGGGTCTTTTGTTGCCCAGGCTGGTCTTGAACTCCTGGCCTCCTGCAATCCTCCTGCCTTGGCCTCCCAAAGGGCTGGAATTACAGGCCTGAGCCACTGTCCTTGGCCAGGAGAAGGTATTTTAAATGAGGAATCAGCATATCTTGGTAATGACTAGAAATAGGTAATAAAGGAAATACTTCTCTAGCCAGAACTCAGAAGCCTGAAACATGGCCCTGCATGGGTGGCTCACGCCTGTAATCTCAACACTTTGGGAGGCTGAGGTGGGTGGATCACTTGAGGTCAGGAGTTCAAGACCAGCCTAGCCAACATGGTGAAACCCATCTCTACAAAAAATTAGCCTGGTATGGTAGCACATGCCTGTAGTCCCAGCTACTTGGGAGGTTGAGGCAGAATTGCTTGAACCCAGGAGGCAGAGGTTACAGCGAACCAAGATTGCACTACTGCACTCCAGCCTGGATGACAGAGTGAGACTCCTTCTTGAAAGAAAGAAAGAGAGAGAGAGAGAGAGAGAGAGGGAGAGGGAGGTTGGGGTAATCAAGAAAGGAGTGGATTGGGAAGGAAGTGGATAAGGATAAGGGGAACTTTGATGGCCCAACTTTAGACATTGAGTTTGATGTAAAATAGCAGTTAATATATATTGCTAGTTCAGCAAAAGGAACTAAATCTCGTGGAGGCCTCTATCAAGGAAGAGGAAGTTGAGACTAGCACCAGAACAAAGGAAGCCCAGGCCACGGTCCCATCACTCACTGTAGGGTTCAGCAGAGGGAGGGTTTCAAGGAAAAAGGGCATGTTTTTGAGATTCTACAGAGAGAGCAGCAAATGTGAAGACTGAGAAAACGATGGAGCCATTAAGAGGTCAGTGGTGGGCAGGCATTCATTTTGGAGAATGTGGTTTTATCAGATAGGCAGGGACATAGGAGAAATCCAGTTTCACGGGGTTAGAATAGAAAGATCAATAAAGAGATGGTTGGCCAGGTGCAGTAGGTCACGTCTGTAATCCCAGCATTTTGGGAGGCTGAGGTGGGCAGATCATTTGTGGTTAGGCGTTTGAGACCAGCTGACCAACATGATAAAACTGTCTCAACTAAAAATACAAAAAATTAGCCAGATGAGCCAGGTGTGGTGGCTCACGCCTGTTATCCCAGCACTTTGGGAGGCTGAAGTGGGTGGATCACCTGAGGTCAAGAGTTTGAGACCAGCCTGGCCAACATGCTGAAACCCCATCTCCACTAAAAACAAAAATTAGCTGGGCATGGTGGCAGGCGCCTGTAATCCCAGCTACTAGGGAGGCTGAGGCAGGAGAATTGCTTGAACCTAGAGGCAGAGGTTGCAGTGAGCTGAGATTTTGCCACTGTACTCCAGCCTGGGCAACAGAGCAAGACTCCATCTTAAAAAAAAAATTAGCCAGGTGTGGTAGTGCTGGTGCATGCCTATAATCTCAGCTACTTGGGAGGCTGAGACAGGAGAATCGCTTGAATCCAGGAATTGCTTGCAGTGGGCCGAGATTGCACCACTTCAGTCCAGCCTAGGCAACAGAGCAAGACTCTGTCTCAAAAAAAGGAAAAAAGATAAGTTGCGCTCATCCAGGGAAACCCAGTATTATGGGAAACAGGATGGCATCTAGAGCGTGACATCATAGTGGGATTTCAGGTTGGTTTTTCCAAAGCTGGGGGGAGATGGTCTAAATGTCAGAGCCAAGGTGACTCTGCCTAGAATTCCTTCCTGAGCCTATGGCGTAACGCCCGCCCCTGTCCTTCCTCCATCTACATGCAGTCATCTGGGGACCTTGAGAATGACGAGCAGGCAGCCAGTGCCATCTCTGAGCTGGTCAGCACGGCCTGCGGTTTCCGGCTGCACCATGGAATGAATGTGCCCTTCAAGCGCCTGTCTGGTGAGCCCCTGCTCCTGCCCTTGGTGGTGGTACTGGGGGGGTGGGCTGCTTCCAGAGGCTTCTTCCTCTTAGCCTCCCAACATTTCCTCCTGTGGTCTCAGGTCTGGCCACCTTCCTCCCTTTGGGACTGCCCTGTATCAGAATTGTGAATGAGAAAGCCAGAGAACGGAGATATAGCAGAGGCCACTCATCTTCAAGTCTCTGAGTCTAGAACAGAATTTCTTTGGCTTTGATCCCAGCCAGTTTGTGCAGGCCCTGCCCTATGGAGTCTGTCACACCCACTAACTCTGTGCTCCCTTCCCTCTCCTGGGGCGGGGGAAGGTGTGTCTCTCCTCCAGTGGTCTTTGGAGAACACACGCTGCTGGTGACCGTGTCAGGACAGAGGGTGTTTGTGGTGAAGAGGCAGAACCGAGGTCGGGAGCCCATTGACGTCTGAACTGCTGGAGGGCAAGGGTCGGAGAAACGGATTGGGTCCTGGGCCTCTGTGATGAGGCAGGCACAGCCATTGGTCTTGGCTTGCTGCTAGAACTAGGGCCTTTGCTAGCCCACCTCCCACCCCTACCTGGAAGGGCCGAGGCTTGGGGACTCTGAGCTGTGTTAAGGAGAACAAGGGCAAGGAGACCTCCCTTTGTGCTCCCTCCCTTCCTCCCTAATAAACACGAGTCTGATGTTCTCCAGCCCAGGGCCATGTGTGTTTAGTGTCAGAGTGGTTACACCCCATGTCTGTCTTCCACATTCTGGGGAGAAAGTCATGCACCTTAGCCCAAGTTGGGTGCAGCAGGGCTGCTTCTGTGTGCTATGGAACTGGGAAGCAGAAAAAAGTTGGAGGGGGTTGGGTGTGGTGGCTCATGCCTGTAATCCCAGCACTTTGGGATTTGAGCAAGTCACAGGTCAGAAGTTCGAACCTAGCCTGGCCAATATGGCAAAACCCCATCTTTACTAAAAATACAAAAAATTAGCAGGGCGTGGTGGCACATGCCTGTAGTCCCAGCTACTCAGGAGGCTGAGGCAGAAGAATCATTTGAACTTGGGAGGCAGAGGTTGCAGTAAGCCGAGATCACACTCCTGCACTCTAGCTTCCTGGTGACAGAGCAAGATTCTGTCTCCAAAAAAAAAAAAAAAAAAAGTTGGAGGGGAAGGGAGTCGCCCTGAGCCCTGGTGACCTCTGCTCTTCCCAGCAATACATACACAAACTAGTCATCCTTCTCCCTCCTGAACAGGCATTTAATAGTCTTATTTCAGTTGGAAGCAATGGTTGGAGAATAAGTTACAGGAACTGACAAAAAAAAAAAAAACTTAAAGTGCTTCAGGCTGCAAACGTAAACATGAAGGGGCAGAAGGAGGCCACCTGGCTCTGTCCCCAACCCGAGACAGGAGGGTCACTGTCAGGGGCCCTTACCCATCACCACCCTCTGATATCAGCCCTGCGGGAGGGACAGGGATGGAGGGAGGGAATGTCAGAGGTGGGAAAGAACGGAACGGGAATGAGGAAGAGAGTTTGTAAACTTAGAACCAGGGTCATGGGCGGGGGGCAAGGGAGCTCTGGGAACCCCTGCCCTAGCTTAGGGGTGGGGCCAGCCCTCCCCACAGGAACTTGGGGAATACTGGTGGCTTAGTCCCAGCCACGCCCGCCCACTTCACAGCTTCTTCCCCCATCCCTCATCAGCAGACACAGTCAGGCAGCACTGCCGGGCCTCTTCACCCCCATCTGGGAGGCATCCCAGGGGAGGCAAAGCTCGGGAGCAGGGATCCCCTCTGGGGGCGTTGGGTCTCTGGAGTGTAAGAGGGAGCAGAGCTGGCATGGTGCTACTTGACGGGTTCCACCACCAGGACCTTGCACTCGCGCTTGGCAATCTTGTCCAGAGACAGCACAGCCTTGTCCGGGGGCAGGTAGAGGGGGCGGCCAACAGGAGAGGCCACGGGGGGCGTGATGGCCCTGCGCTCCATCACACTGCCCGACCTAGGGGAAGGCAGAGGCTGTGGGTGCTGGTCAGACCCGGGACCTTCCTTGCCCCCAGCCTCACCCAGTCCCATGCCACACCCCCTGGTTCTGTACCTCATGAGGTGGCTTCGGGAAGGCTGTTGGTGGGAGAAGGACTGGGAGCGGCCCAGGCTAGCCTGGTGCCTCTCTACCAAGTCCCGGACAGCAGGGCTGCTGGGGCTGCTCTTGCGGGAGAGGGGCCGGGCCTCAGGCGGAGGGTGGGACACGCTGGCCGTGAACTGCAGCTTCAGTTTCATGTGCTGACTCAGCTGCGGGGAGAAGCAGGTCAGCATGCCAGCTCGGCTTCCAGGGCCCAGGCTTCCTTCCAAATGATCTTCCCCAAGTGACAGACAGATGTCAAATCTAAATCCCACCTTCCCTCTGCCTGGCTTTTTATTTCATCCCCAAAATCTAAGTGTCCTGCCTCTGCCCACCCCAGCATTCTGCACCACTCAGCACTCAGCCCAGACCCTCCCCAGCCCACCTCGAAGAGCCCTGTCCTCAAAGCCTGGAAGGCCACACTGAAGGTGAGCGCGCTGCCCTTCCGGGAAAAGCCGAGGTTGTTGAGGGGCGTGTGGCAGACGATGGAGTCCAGGGCGGCCTGCATGGCCCGGCGCTCCTCCTCACACAGCTGCTTTCCTGGGGGGCAGAAACAGGGACCAGCAAACACTACAGCGTTCCTCATTCCCATAGGGCCTTCGCCAGCACAGTCTCATCTGATCCTCAAAGCCACTCTGTAGAGTAAACTGAGCAAACGTTATCTTTTGTGCATATTGTAGATAACAGTGGCTAATACTTACTGTGTGAAGGGTCTGTCCTAAGCACATCACGTATATTAACTCAGTATCTGCATGACAGTCCCATAAGATAGGAGTCGCTCTATTTTAGAGATGAGGACTCTGAGGCCCAGAGAGGTTAAGTAACTTACTCAAGGTTACACAGCTAGTAAAGGAGAGAAGTAGAGCTCACAGCAGTGAGTAAAGCTCCAGTTTCCATGCCCTGAAAGTCACTCTGCCCCACTGCCTCTCTAAGCTCTCCATTTGGGACCCTGTGGAGACCACCCAGGTACAGGGCGGAAGCTGCCTGCCACAAGTCACCTCCTCTGGTGGGACTGGCACCAAGTGTGGCTCTTTTCACTATCCTGGCTGTTCTCTTTCCCCTCCCCTCCCTGGGGACCAGATCCCCACCTGGCAGCTGACCTACCAGCCTGTGCGTGCTCCGGGGTCCACACTAGCCTCACAGCAAGGAAGTCTTGGAGATTGTTGAGCAGCGTGTAGGTGACAGTGAAACGTTCGTAGGTCTGAACAGGGGACTCACAAGAAGCGGTCATCACGAAACATGGGCGATCTAGGCGGACACTGGGCAGGCTAGGAGTGGTGAAAGAGGGCTGCTGGCTGTGTGTGTCAGGCCACAAAGGCAAATGCCATGGTTCCTCCTCTAGGATCCACACTTACCGGTAGTGTGTATAGATGCTCTGAGTGAATGGCAGCTTCGGGGTGGACCACTGAACCACAGCAATCAGGGGAACTTCCAGGCCCTGCGGGAGGGACAAAGGGGGTTGGTGGAGGCATTAAAAGTGCCCCTCCCATCTTGAGTCAGCCACCTGGTCTTTCCCTCCCACTGCCTTATCCCTTTTCCTTGAACACACTAGCCACTTATGCTCACCTCCTTGGCCCCTGGAGGGGGCTGCTCACCCCCTCTCAGCTGAAACAGGAAGTTGTGTTCCTCCAGGGCATTCAGTGGGCAGGGGAAGCAGCCAGAGGTGCCAGGTAGTCGGCAGAAGGAGCCCATGGAGACTTCCCCAGACTGGTGACTAGCTCAGAAAAGAGGACAGGGCATGGTCTCCCCATGCCAGAGCTTGGCCCCTGACGCCATCCCCACCACTTTACAGCCTCACACCTCCCAGGACCTCACCAGACATTGTCGACCAGCAGCACAGAGCCATCGGGCATGACAGGTAGATAACTGGCATTGAAGTTGGGGAGGATTCGGATATCCCAGATGGAGATTTCCTCCTGGGAGGAACTGTTCAGCACTGTTGGAGAGGACCAACTCGGTTCAGAATAGCTGGACCCTCAGGCCCCACCTTTACCCAGAAAAAACCAGACCTACGCCACCAGCCTGCCTAGAGGACCTGCATCCAATCAGTTCCCTTACTGCTCCCAGAGGCTGGAGCCGGCCAACTTGCTTACCCTTGAGCACGGTCAAGTGTTTTCCAGCCACAGTGAACTGCCGGCATCTCAGAACCGGAGGGGGCAGCAGAGTCAGCAGCGTGCTCACTGAGGGAGGGGGTGGGGTCAAGAAGTGATGGTCTGGGGGCGGACCTCACCTCCAACCCAGAGTTCTCACCTTTCTCTTCTCGGAGCCCATTAGCCACTTTACAGTGTGACTCCTCCCCTCTGTTCTCCAATACCCAGACTCTAGCCCTTCGCCTCTGCGCTCTCCTCCCCACCTTGGGCCTTGAAAGCGCTCTGCTCGCCCCGGAAGGTCTCCCCAGGAGATCGGGTTTGCAGCAATCGCAGGTAGCCTTGATCTCTGACCTCTGGTGCCTCAACCTCCCGCTTCCACACAGTCACTACAATCTATCAAGAGGAGAGACAGATGGCTGAGCCCGGAAAAGGTATCTGAATTGGGACAACAGCTCCACCCCTTGCTCATCTTACCTTGGCTTTAGGTGTCCCTGGGGGCAGTCTATCCAGTGAAACGGTGAGTGGGAAGATGACCTCATCTGTGGACACAATCGGTTCCTCCACAGGCAGCTGGGGTTGGGAAAGGGGTGAAGAGGTCAGGAGCGAGTCAGAGGCAGCCTGCAGCCTTTCCCTTTAAGACCTGCAGGTCATCTGCCTCCTGCTTCAGGCCCCCAGCAAACCGCCCCTCCGCCCTGTGCCGGGTCCCCCAAAGCTCCTCACCGTGGTCGCTCCCCCTGAGGTAGCAGGGCCCGGGCCGTGGGTGAGAAGGGGGCTGCAGCCTCGGAACAAACCCCCACCCCCAGGATCCCCTCCCCCTGGGGGCTCCGAATCCTGGTCACCGGCGCCTCCGCCCCCCGGCATCCCGCCTCCGGCGCTGACCGAGGCCAGGGCAGCCAGGGCCGTTGCCAGTTCTGTCCAGGCCCCTCGGGAGCCCAAGCCCGGGCCGCCCCCGACGCCGGACCCCGTGCTGCCCCGGCAGCGCAACACCAGCAGGAAGCGGACAGTCTCCCCCAAATACAGATGGTTGCGCCTGGGCAGCGCCCGGTACCGGCCAGGGTCCCCTGCCAGCTCCGCGCGCGGCGGCAGCGGCACGGCCGGGAAGTACATGGAGTAGTCGCACTGGGACTCCATGGGGAGGCGAGGACGGCGGGACCGGGAGCCGGGGCCGGAGGCTGATCTCCGGCGGGGCCCGCTAAGATGGGTCCAGAGGGCCCGGACACCTCGGGCTGCTGCGCGTGGCTGGGGCGGCCCGAGAGACCCGCCCGGTCCCGGCACCCGGGCAACGAACCCGGAACCGAGACCCCGCCGGCGCCGGAACCGGAGTACGGAGCCGAAGGACTGGAGACAAACCGGAAGCGGAAAGGAGGGGGCGTGGCCGCCAAGGCCCCAAACTCTGCGGGTGCCCGGACCTTGGAGGAGGGGGCGGGGTCCGGCTGCTCTGAGGCAGAGAAGAATACAAGCTGGGGTTGCCGCCAAGCTTCTTGGAAAAGAAATGTATGAAGTACCCCGTCGGGCGGGGTGGCTCACGCCTATAATCCCAGCACTGTGGGAGGCCGAGGCGGGAGGATCGCTTGAGGTCAGGAGTTTGAGACCAGCCTGGCCAACATAGCAAGACCTCCGCTCTGCAAAAAATTTTAAAATTATTCGGGCGCGGTAGTGCGCACCTGTAATCCCAGCTACTTAGGAGGCCTACACAGGAGGCTCTTTTGAGCCCAGGAGTTTGAAGCTGTAGTGAGCTATGATTGGGACACTGGACTGCAGCCTGGGTGACAGAGTGAGATCTTGTCTCAAAAAAAAAAAAAAAAAAAAAAGACGCCTTCCAACCCCACCTCTCCCAGGAAGATTTCTCCATCCCTCCCCTTTCCACCCTCCATAAATCAAGTAGAAGTTTCAGATTATTTATTCATTCAGCAAACATTTCAAAATGAAATGAACAGTCTAGTAACAAATATTTGGTAGAGAAATGGACATATTATTCCAACTCACCATGCACCAAACTTTCTGTGGCTCGCTCCATCTTTTGCCCCTCTAGGGAGCTTTGGTGATATGGATCTGCCTTTGGGGCAGGAAAGGGGAAGTGGAGGCTGGTGTGGTGGCTCAAGCCTGTAATCTCAGCACTTTGGGAGGCAGAGCCATGTGGATCACCTGAGGTGAGGAGTTCGAGATCAGCCTGACCAACATGTTGAAACCCTGTCTATACTAAAAATATAAAAATTAGCTGGGTGTGTTGGCATGTACCTGTAATCCCAGCTACTTGGGAGGCTGACGCAGGAGAATCGCTTGAACCTGGGAGGCAGAGGTTGCAGTGAGCCCAGATTGTGCCACTGCACTCAAGTCTGGGGGATAGAGCGAGGCTCTGTCTCAAAAAAATAAAATAAAGAAAGGGGCAAAATGAGTGGAGGAGGGAAGCACTGCTGGGAGTACATCGAAGCCCCATCCCTTCTGAGAGATGCAGAAGTGGCATCTTGCTGCCCCCCAACTCATCCCGTGTGCCTTTCAAACATGGGTGCTTTTTCACCTAAATCTGTAGTCTGATGTCTATGGGGAGAGTGGCCTTGAAGTCTTGAGGGGCAGTGAGACAGTTGGGGGGAACTGCTTGGCATCCAGCTTGTCCTTGTACTGGAGCTCAGGAGTAGCCAGGCGCTCACACTCCTCTTGGTCTTGGGGGCTCAATCCACTCCGAAGTTTATAGCCCAAAACCTTAGCTGACCCAAACTGGAAGGGGCGGAACCGGCGATCAGTGATGTATTTGGGGTCAGAAGCCTTACCCCCTACCAGACAGTGTTTGGCCAGGGCCTCCCGGCGAGCCCGGAGCTCAGTCACAGCTGTTTGCAGCCGACGCTGGCCGTATTTCTCTATCCGTGCCCAGAGACTGCGGTTGAAGTGGACATAGAGAGCCCAGTCCAGGTTGTTCCAGGCTCGGGCCCGTGCTGTCAGCTGCTGGTCCTCTGCAGTCAGTCCACTGTTGCTGACAGTGCTGAGGCCCTGCTCACGTCCAGCCTGGGCATTGTGCATGAAGCCTACCACATCATCCAGACCCCAGCACAGGGCGTCTGCCAGCAGAACCAATGACTCATCAAAGTACTCTGCCACCATTACCAGGTCAAAGACAGAGTCCAGCCAGGCCAGACCCCACTGAATGAAGGATGAAGACCCCATATCGAAAGAGGCAGGGCTTGACATCTGGCTGCCATGATCAGCAACAGTGGAAACAGGATGGATGAGGGCATTGGGATTGAGGGCTTGGGCCTGAGGGCCAGCACCAGAGGGCAGGACCTGCAGCTCTGGGGCATTGGGGTCTCTTGGGGGATGAAGATTCCCACTCTTGGTCCTCATCTCTGGGGGAAAGGGGAGGCCAAAGTCAAACCATAGTAAGTTGCGAGCATAGTGGTCCCCACGGGCCCCAGGCCTGTAGAAGGCTCGAGGATTGGCCAAGAAGGCAGCCAAGGATGGCGACTTGCGGAAGGCTGATGAGGTGGATTTATAGTAGGAGAAGGCAGAGCGAGCCAGAGCCGCTGGGTCACGGACAATGGAAAAAAAGAAGCTGTCAGAAGGCATGACCTGAAGTACCTGCAGAGGAGAGAAGACAGACACAGAGAGAGAGAACTGGGCTGGGGAGCAGGTATGCATATGTCGGGGGGAACCCCGCAAGTGCCAAGGCAAAGGTCTAAAACCTCAGCCTGCCCCCATATGAATATTGAATTAGAAAAGAATTAGAAATATAAGCACATAGTTATTCCTATATATAATCATATATAATCATTTAGTTATTCACATGTAATCATAAAGATATATATACTCAGCATAACCTTTTAATTTTACTAATGATTCTCAGGTCATGAAGTGTGGAACTGAAGAGGTATTGGGAAGGAGGTGGCCCTGAGGCAAGATGCTCTAAGCCCTCTGTCATGACTGCATAAAGGCTGCTGGAGGGCGCCTCGGCTGTGCCGCAGTGTTAGTGCTGGGAAAGCGCCCACTGTTTAGCCAGCTAGAGAAGGAGACATCCAAAATGGCCAAGACATCTCCTTCCTGGGGGAGTTAGGAGAAAACTCTGCTTCTCCAAGCTCTTGTGGTAGGCCTGACAGCTGTCAGGGAAACCCACGGACATCCGGGGGGCTTAATTGTCTCTATGTGATGCTGCACTTCAGTGGTCACGTCCCATGTCTACTTTCATGTTCCGCTTCTGTACCTGGCTCCTCTTTTTCTTAGAAGATAAGAATTGGTAATAGTAACATAAATCTTAATGCCCTTGATATTTTTGACAAGTATGCGAAAAGTGCTGATGCATTAAGTTTTCTCCTCACCTTGGTTACTTGAAAGTCCTGGGCCCCTATCTCCAAGACATGTGATTTACTTGATCCTATCATTGACCACCAAGGCCTGGCCCTACCCACCCTACTCCCTGCTTTGTACTCAATAAAATCAGGGCGTCCAGGCACTTGGGGCCACTGCCAGACTCTGCACTTTGGTTGGCAGTAGACCCTTGGGCCCAAACTCTGTTTTCTCTTTCTTGGTGTCTTGTGTCTTTTATTTCCACAGTTTCTCGTCTCCACACCTGTAAAGAGGGGCTCACAGGACCCTGTAGGCCTGGACCCTACATGCATAAGTATGCACAAGCCACGTGTCCACCTATCCAGGCTCCTTAAACCTCCTTCTCCCAGCTCTGCTAGGAATCCCCGGCTTCCATCACTTGCTGCGTGGCAAGTTACTTAACATCTCTGAGACTCAACCTGCTTATCTGCAAAATGGGGATAATCATACTTTCCCAAGTGATTATGAAAGATACATGAGATAAACATACAAAGAAACCTGGAGCACAGAGCCAGGCATATGATGTGTGCCTGTAGTCCCAGCTACTCTGGAGGCTGAGGCAGGAGGATGACTTGAGCATTGCTATGTTGCTGAGGCCACCCTGGGCAACATATTGAGACCATGTCTCTACAAAAATAAAACTAAAAAAATTAGCAGGGCAATTAATGATAGACTGGATAAAGAAAATTTAGCACATATACACAATGGAATACTATGCAGTTGTAAAAAAGAATGAGATAATGACCTTTGCAGGTACATGGAGGAAGCTGGAAGCCATCATCGTTCTCAGCAAACTAACACAGGAACAGAAAACCAAACACCACATGTTCTCACTCATAAGTAGGTGGGTGTTGAACAATGAGAACACATGGACACAGGGAGGGGAACAACACACACCCGGTCCTGTCATGGGGTCGGGGCCAAGGGGAAGGAGAGCATTAGGAAGAATACCTAATGCATACAAGGCTTAAAACCTAGATGACGGGTTGATAGGTGCAGCAAACCATCGTGGCACATGTATACCTATGTAACAAACCTGCATGTTCTGCACATGTATCCCAGAACTTAAAAATAAGTTAGGGCATCCTGGCACATACCTGTAGTCCTAGCTTCTCAAGAGGCTGAGGTGTAGGATCGCTTGAGCCCAGAATTTTAAGACAAGCCTGAGCAATGCAGCAGGACCCTGCCTTGAAAGAAAGGGACTGGTGGCGGTGGATCATACCTGTAATCCCAACACTTTGGGAGGCCAATGGGGGTGGATCATGAGGTCAGGAGTTCAAGACCAGACTGGCCATGATGGTGAAAACTTGTCTCTACTAAAATTACAAAAAATAAGCTGGGTGCAGTGGCAGGCACCTGTAATCCCAGCTACTTGGGAGGCTGAGGCAGGAGAATCGCTTGAATCTGGGTGGTAGAGGTTGCATGACTGTACTCCAGCCTAAGTGACAGAGTGAGACTGCTTCTCAAAAAAAGAAAGAAAGAGGAGTGCATTCGCACAAGAGAGAGAAGAAAGGAGGGAGGGAGAAGGAAGGGAAGAAGAAAGGAAGGAAGGAAAGGGGAGGAGAAGAGGAGGGGAGAGGGAGGGAGCGGATGGAGGAAGAGGGAGGGGAAGGGCAAGGGAAGAGAGAGGAGGGAAAAGGAAAATAAAAAAGAGAAAGAAAGGAGGGAAGGAAACCTGGAGCATAGGAAACTCCTGGAGAACATTAATTTCCTTGGGCATTTCTGTCTGCCTTGGTCAGTAAAACCTCTAGGAACCAACCTTTGTACTCATTTCTCCAGCAAAACCTATTGAGTGCCTGCCCTGGGACTGTTGGTCATAGCTCCAGGAAGGGAACTGGCCCTAGCCTCCTCAGGGCATACGAAGGGCATCACTTTGGCAGCAGAGTGAGAAGGAGCAACTATAATGCCATCTGGGGCATAGGCAGCAGGTGGATAGGGCAGGCCCAGAATGGTTGGAGACTTCAGGGGTTTGAATGGTAAAACACATCAGGGAGTCCTGGGCATCCCAGAGGGCAAAATACACCCTGAGCTAAGGCCCTGGGAAGCCACAGCTGCCTGGTAGGATGCTGCCCTGAGGACTGGGACATGTGATTCTATGGCTCTGCAAGAAGGAAGGTGGAGATCAGGCTGCACCACACCCTAACGTGGCCCTGCAGGCTGATGCAGGTCAGAACCTAGCTCCTGGACTCCTTGAAGGGTTTCTGCCTCCAAAAATGACTTCCATTATTGAATCTGACTTCTCTCTGTCATGGTGTTCTTCAGTCAGCTCTGCAAATATGGCACACCTGAACAACAGCCTGTGAACCTCTCTTTTTTTTGGGGGGGGGGGCGTGGGTCGGGGGTGGAAATGGGAAATGAGTATTTTAGCTTCTGATTGTTTATTTTCTTCTTTTTTTTTGGAGAGACTGTCTCCTTGCTCTGTCATCTAGGCAGCATATCATAGCTCACTGCACGCTTAAAAACTCCTGGGCTCAAGGGATTCCCCAACCTACTATAGTCCTCCTGAGTAGCTGGGACTATAGGTGCACACCAACATGCCCTGTTAATTTTTAATTTTTTTTTTTTTTTTGTAGAGACAGGGACTTGCTATGTTTCCCAGATTGGCCTTGAGCTCCTGGGCTCAAGTCATCCTCCAACCTCAGCATCCTAAAGCACTCGGATTACAGGCATGAGCCACCACGCCTGGCCCTGTAGGTCTCTTTGAAAGCAGAGGGGAAACTGAAAAAAACAGTCTTTGGCATCTGATGGACCTGGAATAAAATCCCACTCTGCCATTTACTAATTCTGTGACTTTGGATGTGTTATTGAACGTCTCAGAGCCTTCAGTCCTCCATCTAGAAATCTGTGTAACTGGGTAACACTTATCTGGATGAATGTGCAAGTGTCCGGAACACAGTTGGTAGTGAATGAATGGTGGTGTCAGGGAAGGCCATCACCCTAGCCCCTGGAGAAACCTACCTCAAAGGTCACTGTCATTGCCTCACTTCTAACACTGGCCTTTAGCTTGCCCATTAGAGCACACCCATGTCCTCAGCTGCTGTCTCCAGCTCTAGCTTTGGCAAGGGTGACTTTGCAGCCCCTGCTGAAGTTCTACCCCCAGTACAGACATTCTCCCTCTTACATGCACACACACATGCACCCCACCATGTCCTTGCTGCTGGTTTGCTCCCTCTAAGAATGCCTGATGTTCTCCTTACCACAGCCATGTCCACCTCTTCCTTTAAAATCCTCACTCTCAGCTGGCCACTGTGGCTCACACCTATCATCCCAGCACGTTGGGAAGACGAGGGCAGGCCGATTACCAGAGGTCACGAGTTCAAGACCAACCGGGTCAACATGGCGAAACCCCATCTCTACTAAAAGTACAAAAATTTGCCGGGTGTGGTGGCACAGGCCTGTAGTCCCAGCTACTTGGGAGGCACAAGAATTGCTTGAACCCAGGAGGTGGAGGTTTCAGTGAGCCGAGATCGTGCCACTACACTCCAGCCAGGAGAAAAGAGCAAGACTCTGTCTCAAAATAAATAAAGAAATAAAATTAAATAAGAAAGTAAAATAACACCCCCTCTCCAGAAAGCCTCGCCGCTTTGGTGAATATTCTTCTCACCATTTCAGATACACACACATGCACGTGTTGCCCAGGCTGGTCTCAAACTGCGGGCTCAAGTGATTCTCCATCTTGGCCTCCTAAAGTGCTGGGGTTATAGGGGTAAGCCACTGTGCCTAGTGGGTGCCATTTTTCTTTTTTCTTTCTTTTTTTTTTTCCTCCACATCTATTCAGTAGGGTGCCATTTTTCTATCTGTGAAAGTCACTTCACCTCTCTGAGACTCGAACTCCTCAAATGTGTAATGGAGACACTTAAAATGCCTTCCTGGCAAGGTGATGGGAAGTCTAGTACTCAGCACTAGTAAATATTCAGTCAGGGCTGGGCGCGGTGGCTCAAGCCTGTAATCCCAGCACTTTGGGAGGCCGAGGCGGGTGGATCACGAGGTCAACAGATCGTGATCATCCTGGTCAAATGGTGAAACCTCATCTCTACTAAAAATACAAAAAATTTGCTGGGCATGGTGGCACGTGCCTGTAATCCCAACTACTCAGGAGGCTGAGGCAGGAGAATTGCCGGAACCCAGGAGGCAGAGGCTCCGGTGAGCCGAGATTGCGCCATTGCACTCCAGCCTGGGTAACAAGAGGGAAACTCCGTCTCAAAAAAAAAAAAAAAAAAAAAAAATTCAGTCAGGTTTAGTTTCTTCCCTGTATGTTTCAATTACACATTGATTTTTTTCCTGTAGGAGCCCTCGGTTTCCTGTGTGTGTCTGAGTATGTGACTATGTATGTTCTTGTCTCCATTATTAGAACAGAGGCTCCTGGGGGTCAGGACTGGGCTTCCACCCAGCTATTCTGCTGTGCTTAGCCCCTAGCTAAGCATACAGCTGATCCTTGAAAATGCCAGACCTGTGAGGGGGTTGAAGAAGACAAGTCAGAAAGCAGTGGGGGAGCTGGAGCTCTGGTGTGACAGTGGAAGGGAGGCTAAGAAAGGGAAGGGGTGTGTAAACATAGGTACTTGTAAGTCTAAGGTGGAGGATCATTTGAGGCCAGCCTGGGCAACATTAGTGAGACCTCATCTCTACAAAAAAATTTTTTTTAATCAGGTGTGGTGGCATGCACCTATAGTCCCAGCTACTTGGGAGGCTGAGGTGGGAGGATCTCTTGAGTCCAGGAGTTTGAGGTTGCAGTGAGCTATAATTGCACCACTGCATTCCAGCCTGGATGACAGAGTGAGAGACCCTTTCTCACACACACACACACACACGCACGCACTCACACACAAAGGCTTGCCAAAGTGGCTCACTCCCATAATCCCAACCCTTTGGGAGGCCAAGGTAAGTGGATCACTTGAGCCCAGGAATATTTATTTATTTATTTAAGCCCAGGAATTTGAGACCAGCCTGGGCAACAAAGCAAGACCCCATGTCTACAAAAAATTAAAAAGTAGCCATGTGTGGTGGTGCATGCCTTAGCCCCAGCTACTCAGGAGGCTGAGGTGAGAGGATCACTTGAGCCTGGGAAGTCAAGGCTGCAGTGAGCTATGATTGTGCCACTGCACTTCAGCCTAGGTAACAGAGCAAGACCCTGTCTTCCAAAAAAAAAAGAAGGGTAAGGTGCACCTGGAGGGAGAGTTGGGGCTCAGAGTTGGCAGGGCACTGATGCCAGGGAAATACAGTGGTGAAAGAGAGAGACTGAAGTTAAGAACCAGAGTGAGAGGAGGACTCGGGCTCCCAGAAACTATGAGGGAAGGGACACCTGTAGAGAGGGTGGCAGGAAGCCTCACTTTTGTGGCCCCCATGTCCAACATTAGGGTAAAATGGTGCCTGGGGATCCCCCAGGTCTGGGTCCCCTCCCTTGGTAGTGTCAGCCCCAAGCCTGATCACATCTTTCTGGTCCCTCCCACCCCTGTGACACTCCTTACCTCTTTTAGGTTGAACCTCATGTGGTGACAGAGGATGTCGAAGGGGAGCTGGGTGCCTCCACCCTGGGGGCGGTAGCCTTTTACCCTCGAGGCCTGGAAGAGCCTTGGGTAGCCAAACTGGTAGCGGGCGGGGAGGGCAAAGCGCAGTCCGTGCCGGTCCCCGTAGCTGTGAAGCAGGCTCAGCACAGAGCTGCTTCCGGATTTATGCGTCTTCAGGAACACCAGTCGCTGCCGGGGAGGGCAGGACAGAAGGGCTGGTCGTAAGGATGGGGCCAAGGGCTGTAGCCTGGGAAGAGATGGAGGGGGAGTGTCCTGTCCCTCAGCAGCAAATGGGCTTCTTGGGTAGAAGGGGCAGAGGGCATGGAGGCTTCTGAGTCCCCAAGAGTCACCAGCCCCAGTGGGATGGGGAAGAGGAAGCTTGGGGCATCTAGAGGGAGTTGGGGCAAAGTAGGAACTCACCTCCTGTGGAAGGGCCCTCCCAAGAGCTGGAGCACAAAGCCAATGGTCATGAAGACTCCCAGAGCCACCCCCAGGCTCCGAGGTCCCCAGAGCCGCAGCGTCCTGGCAGGAGACAGAGGGCCCATGTGGCACGGGGGAGGGTGAAGTGAGAAAGGGATGGAGCCAGGGCCAGGAACAGGGGCAGAGACAGCTGTAGACAGCCGTGCAGCCGTGGAAGGCGCCAGTTGGAGATCGGGGGGTCATTCCCCAGGCCTGCTCACAGTCTTGGTTGAGTCTGCCCCCTGAGTTAGCAGATTTTTGCCTCTGTCAGCGTCTAGAAGGGAAATGAGGGGGGAAGAAGGGGAGTCTAAGGAGAGAGGCAGAGGAGACCTGCTGCAGCTGAGACCTGGTTCAGGGAAGGGGAGTGGCTGGGGATGCTGTCTACACCCAGACTTTTGAAGTGGCCCACAACTACTCCCTCTGCTCTATCATTTTCTTATCTCCAGTTTCCCCAGCTCCCCACCTACAGCTGTCCCTGAGCCTCACGGACTTAGAAGGGAAGGAGAGAAAAAAAGAACACCCAGATTATGAATGAAACAGCCAGCAAGAGAGAGATCAGACCAATCAGCTCATTAAGACACTCAGGTCAGATCATGGTCCCGACACTGGCTTCCTCCTGAGCCTCTCTGGCTGTCACAGATGGGGATTAAGAACCTTATCCTGGGGCCAGGAAGGGAAGCTAAACAAAGGGAATGAGGATCAGAGGTGGATGAACCCAGGCAGGAGGAAGGGAGGTTAGACTTCCAGGAGTGGGTTTGCAATGGGCAATTGTGTTATAAACTCCAGCACATCTTTTTCCTCTTTCTCAGCATGGGCAGACCCCCACGTGCGACAGGGGCTGGGGGAGATGTATGGCTACTTATGAAACCCAGATCCCTGGACTTACCCCCCATTCCACTTTCCAAACTTAGTGCATTCAGAGGAGATTGAAAGGGTGGGGCTGCAGAGGGGGAGGGAGGGAGAGAGACAGAGAGAGAGAGGAGAGACTATGACAGAAAGATACGGAGAAAGGCACAAACACTAATTGCGGAGTTCCTTCTCAAAGCCCCAGCTTCCTAATCGACCCGGAGTCCGGCCCCGCCCCTTCAGATTACAACTCAAGATCAGGAACCACGGCCCCTCCAAAAACGCAGGACAGCCCCCGGCAGGGGTAACCCCAGGCAGAGAGAAGCCACACTTTTACTCCCAGAGACCCGCCCCTTCTGGCATCACTCCCCAGTCACAGCCCCTAAGGTCCAGCCGCGTCTCCCCTATCCAGAGTTCTTCATTTCCTTCCATCTATTTCTCCCTTCCCATGACTAGAGATTCCACCCAGCCTTCTGTTCCCTCCAGCTTTGGTGATTGCCCAGTCAGTTGCTCCCACCGGAATCCCATGAATCCCTCATGTCTCCTTCCACAGATTAGAGGGCTCCTCCACTGGTCCTATCTTTGGTTTCATTTCCCACTCACCAGGCCACAAGGGGAACAGCAAGGGAAATCGGGCTGGGCCCTCCTGCCCTCCCCAGCCACCGCCCGACTCTTGGCTCAGCTCAACTTTCCCCACGAACTTTCTCAGAGCCCAGGCTCCTCCCTCCTGCCTTTGTCCCGCCAGCCCCAGCAGCTGCAGCAGCTTTGATCACGGTTCAGCTTTGATCGCGGTTCTAGGTCTCTCCCCCACTGCATCTTCCCCTCTCTGGCAGGGCACCCAGACTCCCCTTCGAAGACACCACTTCCACCCCCCTTTCACACTTAGGGAATCAATCCTTCCATTTTCTCTTGGCTTGCCGCAGCACAAAAGATGCATTCAAACGGGGAAAGAAAGAAGGAGAAAGTGATATTTGAAAGCAGACATTGTCAAGGACGTGGCAAGGTAGCCAGAGACTGACGCTCAGAGAACAAGGCCTTCCACCCTGAAGACAGGAGGCAGCGGTGTGGTCAGGTTAATAATGCCTTGTGGCCTCCCTGCTCCGTGGCTCATGGCTGTAATCCCAGCACTTTGGGAGCCGGAGGTGGGTGGATCGCACGCCTGAGGTGGACGGATAGCCTGAGGTCAGGAGTTCGAGACCAGCCTGGCCCACATGGTGAAACCGTCTCTACTAAAAAATACAAAAATTAGCCGGGCATGGTGGCCCCCGTAATCCCAGCCACTTGAGAGGCTGAGGCAGGAGAATCGCTTGAACCCTCAAGGCAGAGGTTACAGTGAGCAAAGATCATCGTACCACTGCACTCCAGCCTGGGCGATAAGAGAGTCCATCTCAAAATAATAATAATGGTAATAATGCCTCGTGTTCAAAGAGCAGTTTGCAGGTGATAAGATGATTTTTCACACAGTTCCTATTTGGTCCCCACAATTCTCCCTGTTTTACAAACGAAGATGCTCAGGGGCCCAGAGGATGGAAAATTTGGAGATCAGGGGTCATTCCCTAGACTCATTTCCTCCCTGGGGGTCAAATGCCAAGGGAGGTGAAAAGCAGGCAGAAAATAAGCCAATCACAGAGGCTCTGATGCCTCTGCTAGGAGCCAGGGCTTAGAGACTAACGCAGCACGGAAAGCCACACTCTGGGTCCCATACATTACCATTTATTTGCAGAATATACATGGACTCAAAACACTGAAACATGGAGTTTGTGAAGGATGTGGATGGCAGAGGTCATGAGATGAGCACCCCCCACCTTGTTTCTTAAAATTTTGGTTAAATTGATACTGAAGAAACTCAACGGAAGAATTCAAGCCCATGAAGCCTCTCATCCTACTCACATGCCCCCCAGTCCCCTGCCCTGCACCCTGTCAGCATCTGGCTTTGTCCATTTTTGAGACCAGATGCCCCTATCCCTCCCCACTTCCAACTTCCTTCAAATCCCTTCCCCAGCTGCAACTCTAAACTCCTCACTTTTTGTTGGGGCTGATCACCAGCCCCAGCCTTAGAGGGCTGGAGACTATACCCTCTAAGGAAATCACAGTCCTTCCTAAATAAATACCCCACATCCCCCTCCCCTGTTACCAAATGAAAAAATAAATATTGTGGACACCCACCCACTCCTGATGGAACTCTCCTGGATTTGGGGCCCCAGCCATTCACCTGCAAAGTCTCTTCTCTACCCTCTCTGCAGCCCCCTTCAACTCCTCCCCAGGCCCAGCTGAGAGGGGAGGAGGGGAAGGGCCATGAACCCTTCTGATGCTAGGGCACCCCTCCCCTGTTATCGAGGTCCAAGCAGGGTCAGGGCTGAGAGGGAGAGAATGAGGATGGTTTGGGTAGGAAAACCAATAGATGCCCCCCCACTCCTGCTCCGGCCCTGGTTGTAGCGGGCACTGCCACCTCCTCCTTTGCCCCCGGAACCATCCCTTCGAGGAGGGTATGGAGGCCGAGGAGGCCGGACTGGGGGAGCCCCAGCCCCGGCCATCCAGTCATCTGCATACTGCTGTCCCCCTCCAGAGCCACTGGCGTCCTCATCTGCAAGGAAGAAGAGGGACAGAGACAGACAGGGTGGGAAGGAGAGGCAGAGGGAGATGGAAGGAGGAAAAGAAATTGGAATAAAAACAGAAAGAGAGAGGCAGGGGAGGGAGGTACAGGTGGATTCGGGGTTGGGGAAGGGAGAAAGATCATGAGTGACAGGAAGGAAGGGAGAGAGGGAAAAAGAGATCAGACAGCAGACACAGAAGGGAGAAATCATAATGGGAGACAATGAGACAGACAGAAAAAAGACAGGCAGATGGGGAGAGAGGATAATGGGAAAAGAGAAAAATCAGAAATACACAGAAGCAGAGAGCAGCCAGGAAGAGGGGTGAAGGAAGAGTGACAAAGAGAGACAGAGACAGACACATAGAAGGAAAGAAAAAAACAATGAGTGGCTGTACCTTGCTTCTCTGTCTGGCAAACTTCACCCTGGGGAGCCAGCCCACCCACCACCCTGGCTTCCCAGCCTCCCCCAAGTTGCCCCCTCCCCCATTTTCCCACTGCCCTTTGCCCATTATAAGGGGCTTCCCACTATTCTGTAAGAATGTTTTTGTGTCTCCCCTACTGACCCGAAAGGATAGAGACCCCCTCACTGGTCTATTATCCTCAGTCTTTGAGGTCAACGCTCAATAAATGCTCGTTGAATGAATTAGTGAATGAATGAATGAATGAATGCTAAGAGCAGAGGCACGGGTGGGAACTACCAGGAGAGGGGAGGGGCTTAAGGGCAGTGGGCGGGGCTCGGGACCAGGGACGCCCGGGTCTCACCCGTGTCCTGCCCGTCCAGGTCGTGTCCCAGTGCGGCCGCCTTCATCCTGGCCGTGGCTGCCCGGAGCTGTAACCGACGCCGCCGTGTTGGGACATCGGGGCCCGAGGTATCCACCTTGAGCTCCGGGTTGTTGACCTGCTCGGCCGCGGTGCCCCCGATCACCGGCGGCAAGTACCTGCGAGCAGAGCAGCCCCAAAGCTCCCGCTGGCCAGCGCGGCCCCGCCCGTCCCGGCCTCGGCCCCGCCCCTTGCCGTCCCTCCACGTCCCCTTGGCTCACCGGCCCCGCCCCGCTCCGGTCCAGCAGGGCGCCGCTTCCAGCGAGGCATCCGCTGCCATGCGAGAGTCTCCGCATACCGTCAGGGACAGCCGGGCCCAGAAGCCCCGCATCCGGGCTAGACGCTCCCGGAGCTCCCACACCTGTGCGGGCGAAAGGGGGCGGGGCGAGCTGGAGCGCAACCCATCCATCCCTGGCCCCGGCCCCGGCCCTCCCCACCCCCAACTCTCGGTCCTCCCCACGCACCAGCCTGTGCAGGTTGGTGCCTGCGGCCGTCGTGGGCCGCTCCTCTTCGGTAACCATCGACCACAGCCGGCTTGCCTCTTCTCGGGGCGGCGGGGCTCGACGGTTGCGGGCCGGCACAGGGTTGGGGGGACCGCACTCCTGAAACACCTGCGGCACCGAGAAGAGACCTTACACAGTCACCCTGCGGTGAAACCACACTGCGTCCCCACTCTTGACTCCAGAGTCTCTTCCCAGATACCCTACACTGTCTCCCTGACACCTACAACGTCCTTGCCCCGGGCCTCGCCTCCACCCTTCTCTCCCCTGTACCTGGGTGGACACCTTCACACTGTTTTCCTGCAGGTACATCAAACCCTCCGAGATCTTCACCCCAATGGACTCGGCCGCCAGCTCAAACGAAAAGGGACCCTGGAGCTTATCAGCCAGGATCAGGAGACCATCTTAAGGGAGGGAGAGAAAGTATGGGATGAGTGGTGAACTAGGATGTTCCCAAAAATCCTAACTCGGGTCTTAGAGAAGCAGCAGAGTATTTGGGGGAAACTCATGAACTCCCTCTCATGCTTCCCCCTCAGTGTGGCTTTAGAGCTCCTCTTCAGTTCACGCCCCGCCTTACTAAGAGCCCTCCTCCATCCCAGAGACTTTTTAAAAATTTAAATTTAAATTTTAGGATTTCTTAAAGACAGGGTCTTACTCTCTCACCTGGCTGGAGTAGAGTGGCACCATCACAGCTTACTGCAGCCTCTCACTCCTGGGCTCAAGGGAGCCTCCTGCCTCAGCCTCTGGAGTAACTGGGTAACAGGCATGTGTACCACCATGCCTGCTAATTTCTTTCTTTCTTTCTTTCTTTCTTTCTTTCTTTCCTTCCCTCCCTTCCTCCCTCTCTCCCTCCCTCCTTCCTTCCTTCCTTCTTTCTCTTTCTTTCTTTTTTTGTAGAGATGGGGTCTAGCTATGTTTCTCAGGCTGGGCTCTAACTCCTGGCCTCAAGATCCTCCTGCCTCAGCCTCAGGGGTAACTGGGACTACAGGTGTGTGTGCTACCACACCTGGCTAATTTCTTTTTTTGTAGAGATGTCATCTAGCTATGTTGCCCCACCTGGCCTCCAACTCCTGGCCTCAAGTGATCCTCCTGCCTCAGCCTCTCAAAGTGCTGTGATTACAGGCATGAGCCACCATGCCCGGCTCCGGGCTTTCTTGAATCCCCTCACCCAGATAGTTGCCCCAGTCAGGCTCCAGTCCCCTGTTGCTGAGACATCCACGAACCACGTTGAGGCAGAAGCCCCGGCAGGGCATAAGTGAGGGGACCCCCCGGCATAGGGGACAGCCGATGAGACGCATTAGAGCCTGGCTGCAGCCTTCAGACACTGGCACCTGGGGGCAGAGAGTGGGGCTGTGTCCTCCACAAACACCATGGCTGCTCTCAGCCCAGCTTGGTGCCCCATCCCACCTTCCCCAGGCTCTGAGTGGAGAGCTGGATGTGTGCACCTAGGGTTGGTGACTCCCCCCGCAGCAGCAGATGAGATTATCACAGAACTGAGGAGGGAGGTTCCAGGTTGCCGACACTGATTTGTGGGAGGGGTAGAACTACAGAGGCAGTTGGGGGTCTGAGGAAAGATTCAAAGACAAGAGTGAGCCCATCCCAGCTGGGTAGGGAGGAGGCAGTCAGGAGGCAGAAGGTGAGGCTGGAAGGTCAGGGAGAGGATGGGTAGTGAAAGAGGCCAAGCCAGGCTTCTGGCCTTCAGCAGCAGGGAAGTGGCATCATTGAGGGGTGGTGGGAGATTGGGCAGGGGCAGTATCCAATCTTGAACTGCTATGGAGATAAACAGGTCCTCAGGGACTGACAGGGGGATATGGGTCCACAGAGGGCAAGAGGGGATCAAAGGTTCAGAGGTGGTCAGAGATCACGGATTGTGGAGCAGTGGAGGCTTCACTCCAGCCCCCTCCTTCCTAATTCATCCTGGGCCACCAGGGCCTTGAGGCAGACAGAGCTCCAGCCTTGTCCTGCTAGTTTGGTGGCTGACTCTTCCTAGTGAGGTCTCTTTCACTTCTGCTCCCCGCTCCCTGGTGCTGCCCGCACTCAGGCCCCCTCTAACCTTAAGCGCTTCGCTGACCACAATTCTTCCAGTCTCCAGGCCCTGCACAAAGGCTCGGGCAGCCACCAGGGTCCGGGTTATCTGGGATAAGGCAAAGAAGGTGAGAAGAACCACAAGGTTGTCATGGGTCAGTCAAGACTGGAGCCAAGAGATTGCACCAAGAGCAGTGGGTGTTAGGTTTGTGGGGTTATCTCAAAGGGGGTAGAGTGTTGGATGGTACAGAGAGGCAGGTTCAAGAGTCTCACAGGAATTATAGTCTAAAGAAAAAGAAGGCTTGGGAAGAGATGGAGGGATTGTGTTGTACAGGGCTTAGAGACAGAGAAATTGTGTATCAGAAGTAACACTGAAATTGAAGCCAGAAGACCTGGGTGTGAGCCACGGCTCTACCACTTAAATTTACTGGCTGGAAAGCTTAACCTCTGGGAGCCTCAGTTTTCTCATCTGTAAAATAAGGGTGTGACTGTCTACCTTGCAGGGTTATGATGACAACTAAATGTGATACTATAAATGAAAATGCCTTTTGCATATTGAATACATATTTCCTGTTTAGTTGAACCAGAGGAAGTCGAGGTGTTAGGATTAGGGAGGGGTTGGCA